CTACACTCACCTTTTTCCACATAGCAAGGTAAATTGTGGGCGTTCACCAGCCTTCCCACTAAATCTCCGACGCTAACTGACATGGGAATCGACACCGGCACTGTTAGCCTACACACGGAACCCTTAGCACCGAATGAGAACTGAAACTCCGACTCTACTGTCGTCATATTCAACCTATAGCTCCGATGGGAAAAATGTCGGAGAATAGAAAATAGTAAAATCAGGTGACCGGCATAGGTCACGTGATAAACATGTGTCATAGGTCATATGCGAGAAAGCGTGTGTATACGCAAGTTCACTCATCAAAATAACAAAAACATGCACGTGCTGACCGTGAGGGTTTATATTACATTAATGTTCAATACCCGTTCTGATTTACTAATAATACTTATTTATCTGGGGTCAAAATGACTGGTTATGTTGAACAAAAATATCAACGATTACCATTTACTTCCGGTATACTTATTCTTGAATACAACGCCCTCTGCCGTTATAATACGGAAATACTTTTTTAAAGTAGAAGACTACTCATAAATGCAAACACATAGAATTTATTCATTATGTGATAAATTGTAACCCCAGGCATTATAAAGATATTGATTTAAAACAAGTTGGGGTCACCTTACTAATTTTCGGGGGGGGGGGGGGGGGGAATGGATGGTTGTATTTTAGTGGATAGTGAATTTTTGTCATTATTACGTTTTTTACCATAGGTTCCTATGGCATAGATGTTACCTCAAACTGTAGCATGGTGACATAGGCTAAAAATCATATATTGTGAATGATGGGGTATTTTTTGTTGTCCTGAATTATTTTTTTAAAAATCTGGGTTTTAAAAAGTGTAAAAATGCAATTTTTCTTTAACACTGTGTTCAATTATCTAAAAATACCGATTAAAAATATTTCATGTTGCCATATCTTGAAACAATAGCTCCGTGATTTTACATAATAAAGCAATGAACATTGTCATGTGATTCCAAAATTATGAGTAGGCTTAACGAGATACTTCTACGCGGTGTTTCACTTCTCCATTCACAGCGTTTTTGGTGGTGACATTGTCCATATAAAAATCATAAACCGGGCTAGTTATAACCACCCAATTTGACTACATAACTTATTGCAGTCAAATTTCGAGAAAGCATTTTTTTGCAAACATGATGTGATTATAATACTATCAGCAATAGTCAAAATGAGTTCGCGAGCGAGCGCTCCGCTGTTACGTCTCATACTGTCGTACTGTCCAACCCCTTTTAAAATGTGTGGCCAAGTGGGTTCTATATACCTGGATTTCAGGAAAACGTTAACTACCCATTAATCATAAACTTGAACATCATTGTCTTGATAGCAACAATTCTCGACGTGTCATAAATAATACAAGGTTATTGCGAGAATAGTGTAAAGTATGCAAAAAGGCAATACAGTGATCAACCGACGCATAGGCAAGTTACATTCGGTGTCCCACAAGGGTCACAACTTGTTCTTCATTCATTCATTTATTTATTTACTTATTTACCCCACGACATTACTCGAAATCATATACAAGATCACTGTTTTATTCAGCTCCAGTAAATTAAACCTATTTCATGTTGAGCAGTGGTGTATACCTTTTTTGAAATTGAAAGATATTAAAATATATATATATATATATAACATCAGAAGTACATTACTACTGTACCTCTGATAACATACATGTTTTTTTTCGACTCCTTTTTTGAACATTAATTTTGCATACGAAAACCTCATGAGCCTCATAAGTAAAAATGAACTAACTTTTAGTAAAGGTTTTTTTTTTTTTTGCTCTTACATCCAAATCCTGGTAATAATCAAGTGGTGAGGTTCATGTTCGGGTCACAAAAATACCACTTGTGCCACCATAAGGTGGAATAGGCTGATTTTCAATGGTGAAATAAATCCACGAAGGTTTATTTTATTAATTAATACAGAACGCTTTCTTAACGTATTTTTCTTCCTTTAACGTATATATGCAATGTCATGGGAGAGGTTTTCATACGTTTTACAATAATTTAACTTCGGATGACGCCAAAACCCGTCCAAATGCAGGTGACTCAAAGCATTTCAGAATGCTTGCTCATGCACTAATTACGCAGGAAGAGTATTATTGAACACCGCTTTAACATTGCTGATAATTTCTATGCATAATATACAAAATATGCATGACGAGATGCTGATTTGTTCGAGTTACGGTCATCGAGTTACGAACATCGAATTACGAAAACATAGAGTTACAGAAATGACCACGCCCATATTTTAAAACCACGCCTACTTTTGTAAAACACGCCAAAATTGTAACTCAATGTTCAATTGTATATTTTTGTTTTGTTAAACTTTCAAATTTATTCAAACTTCGAGATAGTAACTCGATATTTTCGTTATTGTTCAAACATCCACATAGCATCTTTCATTTTTGACCACGCAATAAGATTGCTTGTTTCATCATGTCTTATTCGATGTTTTTGAGTTGTACTGCTCAATTTTTTTGTTACCGATTGGAGCACTCTCATTTTCTGTTTCTGGTTGGGCTACTCACATTCTCTGTTTCTGATTGGACCACTCTTATTCCTTAAGCTTGTTTCTGGTTGGACCACTCCTATTCTCTGTTTCTGGTTGGACCACTCCTATTCTCTGTTTCTGGTTGGACCACTCCTATTCTCTGTTTCTGGTTGGACCACTCCTATTCTTTGGGGGCCACTCTCATTCCCTGTTTCAGATTGGACCACTCTAGAGTCTCTGTTTCTGGTTGGACCACTCCTATTCTCTGTTTCTGGTTCGACCACTCCTATTCTTTTTGGGGGGTTGGGCCACTCTCATTCCCTGTTTCAGATTGGACCACTCTAGTTCTCTCTGTTTCTGGTTGGACCACTCCTATTCTCTGTTTCTGGTTGGACCACTCCTATTCTTTTTTGGGGGGTTGGGCCACTCTCATTCTCTGTATCTGATTGGACCACTCTCATTCTCTGTTTCTGATTGGACCACTCACATTCTCTAATTCGACCACTCTCTTTCTCTGTTTCTGATTGGACCACTCTCATTCTCTGTTTCTGATTGGACCACTCACATTCTCTGTTTCTGATTGGACCACTCACACGATGAATAATTTAAGCACATATAAATACGTGACAATGATTATTTATTTCATAATAATTGCATGTACAATTATATCATCGATTTAGCAACTGTTCATGTAAAGAGTACGATTATGAAGAGGCTGAATTGCTCGGAAGTTATCTTTCATGTTTTGTTCTAATTCATCTTTCAAACCACGGAATTTGTTCAACTGTAATAAAAAACAATAATATGATGTCATTTCGGTTATACTAAGTTAAAACAAATGATTGCGAAGTTCTTTTAAAAAAACTAAGCAAATCCTCAATCGTCTGTAGCTAGTTTCAGTCTTATCTAATAAACATTTATGATATTGAGAAAGAATGTATGCAAATGAACACTGTTTGAAAGGCAAGAACAAGTGCCGTCACTGTGGCTTCGAGATATCGAAGATCAGATATATTAACTGTAACTATGTGCAATGCGCGGTTCTTTAACTGGCATCATTTAATCTAATTCACTCCCTGTCCCATTATAAATCCAGCCCTTACCTGATCTTCAGACAGTTTGATGGTATTGACGAAGTTAGTCCAGACCACGCCCTCAGAGCATGGTGGTGTAGTCAGCGAACCGGAATAACGGTAATATGCCGACCTGTCTTCTGGCAATAAAGACTCGATACTGAAGGGAGTTTCCAGCTCGTGGGCATCGCCTGCAATTTATCACAATAAAATACATAAAATAGATTTTAAAAAATCATTTTTTAACTATCCGAAGAGATCATGATTAGTTGTAAATTGCATAATTATACTGTCTAATTGTCGATACTTACCATCCTCTTCAATATCTTCGAACAAATCAAAGAACGTGGAGAAGGCTTCGTTATCTTCGCCTTGAAGCTAGAAAGGTAACAACGAAATATGAATCAAATAGGCCGTAACAATGACTGTGCGATTTGTCAATCCGCGCTGACGTAGTTTACGCGTTGTTACGCCGCTCCAACGAAATGATACGGAGAAGATGCCAGATTTTGCCAATACCAACACCGTGACTGCGTAATTATGCCCGAGAAATGTAATCAAGATGTTCGGGTGTTATTGATAATGTTTGCAAAGTTTTGAAGAATGATATATTTCTTCACGTACAGTTTTATTGAGAACACATACACACATTCTTATAATGAATTTAAATATTTCTTTTTCGCAATTTGATTGCAGAAATACATGTGCAATGACATTGTGGCGTCCAATCTCTTGCAGGTCACATGGGAACATATGTGCCAAGTTTGAAGGTTCTTGCTATCTTGCATTGAAGTTCTATACCGAACATACATAAATATATACTGTGACCTTGATTTTTTATTGTTGACCAATTTGTTTCAAAAATATAACCAGGTGTTGAATTTAAACGTAAATCGTGCACATTAAAGTAAAACCGTGAGTAGAGAGCATGGTATAACTACGTACCTCAATTAGAAAAGCAAAAACGGCCAAACCATCAGGCTCTCCAGTGGCCTCTGTGCCACTTGAAAATCTGCTGGTGTCATATGTTACGATGTGCATCTGAAATTACAAATGTGTAACCAATTTATTACATGTATGCAAAGTATATCCCCTGGATGCACAAATTCGGTTTGATCTGTATTCAATTGAGCTCACTAACATTAATTAAATATTTAATTTAAATAACCAATTTGGTACGACTATCGGGGGGAAATCTTCTCCTCTAATGGTGTTCTCCACACGTGTCAGGGGGAATATCGTCTCGGCTCTATATCTCGTCCCCTCGAGGTACGGGATCGGGAAAGTCACTTAAACTTCACTGTCAAATAAGACACACACAACGAAATACGTTTCAACTCTCGTCTTAGTCGGTCAGTCGAGCACTCTATAAGACACAGCGTCCTGGGGAAAAGTCCCCAAGACTATCGCAAAGCTGACCCAAGACTGCCTCTAGACTGCGTCAAGACTCGCCCCAAGACTCTCCAGGTTTCCCCTAGACTCCTCTGTCCTGGTGTACTCGCCAAGACGAACTAAAAACTCTTTATTCATTTTCGAAACCTTAACCAATTACAAAGCAGTAAAAATACTCTAGGGCGTAACCTTCAATCATACAGCCAATCGCACTAAGTACTGAACACGTCATATCTTTTGATTAATTGTTCACTACATTAATAATTGCGAATACTAACTGTCAGAAATAGTAGTCCGAATAGCGACGGTTATCTCGTAATTAGTTCCAAATCACTGAGTCGAGTTCCGTCCAGAAACTCGCCTAAACAATGACAGACATAACACAGCCATTCGCTAATAATCAACTAATTAAGTCGATTAACAGATACGCAAAAACAAATTCATCACACGACTGACGCCCAACGCCTCATTTATGTCGATTTTAAGGTTACTGACTTAGAGTTGTAATTGAACAACATCTTTTACAGATATTCAAGTCATGGAAACGCTTCATCGTAACTAAAGGTGTATTATTGATCTTGCCGTGTACTTGCCTCAGCTGGGTGTGCTTTGGAATTCATGTAATGTTCCGATCCACGTTCATCTGCATTACCCCAATGGAAATGGAATTGGTATGATTTGTACGTGGCTCCAAGACCTCCACCACTTATCAAGTAATCACCAGTCAACAACATTTTAACTGCAATAGTGATGTGAAAAAATAGCCAGTATAGTTGTAGCAATTTATCATAACGACTCACAGCTCCAAAAGCTGTTTAGCTCAATAAGTCACATCAACATATTAAAAAATACATTTCAAATAATGATTGAGATTGAGAAGCACAAACGGAAAACAAAAAGTACAGTCATGCCTGTCAGTTCAGTCTTTAGAAAACATCTTTTCAGTAAAAGTTGCTAGAATTCTCCCTTGACTCATTGACTACACCACACTTTGCATTCGGTATTGAACATAATTACTTTTGACGCAAGTCACTTTTTCTTATACATTTGAAATCATCAAACAGGAAACGGTCGTCTTATTATCCCAATGCATAGTGGCGAATACCCTCACGTAGTTAGCCATCAGTTACT